GTGGGTATGTGCTCTGGAAAGGAGTGAATGAACAGCTATGGATTTGGGAGTAGACGGCACACATCTTAACAGTTATGGGAAAAAATGAGGCTACCCAGGGGCACACATAAGAGTTAGATAAGAAAGGGTAGAAAAAGAACCCTGAAGAACAAAACGCTGAATAAACAAGCTGACAAGGGAGTGAGGGAAGAATAATTAGAAAGTTCAGTGAACGGGCTGGAAGGGGAACAAAGAACAGCACTGCACCCCTGTACCTTTTCACTTACCATGGCACGGTATTCATATGGCTACTCCCTCGTCAAACTGGGAGTTCTTCCAGGGCAGGAACTGTGTTGTACTCATATTTATCACCCTTGTTCCTAGCCTGGAACCAAACTGCCAGTAAGTTCTCAAAAACCAGTTATGAGGGGCGCCTGGGTGGCTCAGTCAGTTAAGTGTCCGACTTCGGCTCAGGTCATGATCTCGCAGTTTGTGAGTTCGAGCCCCGCGTCAGGCTCTATGCTGACAGCTCAGAGCCTGGAACCTGCTTCAGATTCTGTGTCTCCCTCTCTCAGCCCCTCCCCTGCTCACACTCTGTCTCTGTCTCTCAATAATAAATAAACGTTAAAAAAAAAAAAAAAAAAACAGTTCTGAATTGAATGTTTTCTCTTGTTTATTAACTAATACTTACTAACTAATTGGGTGATCTACTTCTCAGAAGCGGGGGAATGTCAGTAGAAGTTTTCACAGCCAACTGTTAGCTTTAGGCCTACATGAGCCTTGGTGACTCCATAGTTTAGGTTTCCAATGCTGGTTCAGGCCCTCTCACCACACACACACACACATACACACACAGGCATAGCTCTTCAGATGTACATATTCTTTCTTTAGATATGTTAATATATTTGTGAATATTTTAATCAGATCTCATTTCTCTCAAAGGCATTGTGTCTCCTTAAAGTGCCCTCATATACCTCTGATCTGATTGTGCTAATTTTAAGTTTTAACTCTCAAGCGATAGATTATGTTAATTTTAAAGTTTAATTCTCAAAGGACAATTCCCTTATTTCTAATTTATTAATTTATTCAGTCAACAGATATTTTTATGGTGCACCTACTATATACCAAGCACTCGGCACCTGCTAGGAATACCTATAGAAGTAAAACAGGCAAAACTTCTGCCCTTAAGAAGCTGACATCTATTGCAGGAATTTCCAAATTCTTGGAATCACCTCATTTTTGTCTCCGGATACTGACAGTCCCCAGGTCCAAAATGGAATTTTTTAAAGGATTTTACTTCTTTTTAAGTAATCTCTATACCCAACATGGGGCTCAAACCTACAACCCTGAGATTAAGAGTCATATGCTCCACCAATTGAGTCAGCCAGGCTCCCCCCAAAATGCTATTTTTAAGCCATTTAACAATGACACTAAACAGAGAAATAGTGATTCAATGGCCTACAAGGAAAACACAGAGTATCTTTTATCAGACCAACTATAATTACTACTTTCTAGCAGTGGGCTTCAGCACTGAACCCAGAAACTGAAATAAAAAAGAAACCTACATAAGTCAGCAGGTACCTGGGGTGCTACTAGAGATGGAGTAAACTGCCAAGTGGTAAACAGGAATGGGGATAACAGGAGACCTGCCTTATTTTGGTCAGTTTTTCAGGATTAATCCATATAATCCAGGGGTACCTGGCTGTGCTGACAGCTCAGAGCCTGAAGCCTGCTTCGAATTCTGTGTCTCCCTCTCTCTCTGCTCCCACCTCCCTCCCTCCCTCCCTCCCTCCCTCTCTCTCTGTCTCTCAAAAATAAATAAACATATAATCCATA